GATCTCCTCTCTACAGAGGGCCTCCTTTTTACAGAGTGCCTCCTTTTTGCAGAGGGCCTCCTCTCTACAGGGGCCGGTCTCCTCTCTAAGGGGGCCTCCTCTCTACACAGGGCCTCCTACCCACAGAGGGCCTCCTCTCTACTGAGGAGTCAGACGGGCCCTAGCGGTCAGACACAGACACTAGTGGTTATTCACAGGAGATGAGAAGGGCCCTAGCTGTCACTTGTCAGGCTGGTCAGAGGGCCCTGATTGTTCTGACGTCATTTTTTAGATTCCCGGGTGAATTTCGTTCGCCTCCGACGTGATTTTGGCCAACGTGGGCCCACGTTGGATTCAGGCCGAAAGGATTCAGGCCAACGTGGGCCGAAGGCCCACGTTGGCCTGAATCCTTTCGGGGGGCCTCCTGAAAACCCCAAGGGAGGGGCGGGCGCCCCCTCCGCCCCCCCCCTTGGCTACGTCCCTGGGCGTATTTTCTTTTAAAATTGCCGATGACTACGAATGGAGGCCGAAATCGGCCGTAAGGGTTGTTGTTGTTGTTTTGTTGGGTTAGGCCCTTTCGGTCGACAAGACCATTGCAGAGCCGGGAGGATGATAGGAATTAGGGGGAGACATTGGTCTGGGCAGGCACCCTAGAGAGTCGCCGGGGCTGAGCCCGTCCATAGGACAGGCCGACCAGCCCCCCAAGCACTCTCTGCACCCGGCTACGGGGTGCAGCTCCCTCGGGAGCAGCGGTGCCGCTCCAGGGGAGCAGCCCGCATGAGATAAAGTTGCCTGTCCAGCCCGGAAGGGGGTTGTGGCGTGGAGGAGAAGGATTTCAGTATCCTGAGGATAGAAGCACGGATAGGTGCCGTAAGGGGGTAGACAGATAGGTTTTCGGACACGGGCTACAAGATGGCTATCTCAGTTTCAATCCCCATGTTAAAGGTGGCCCTTTTCCTTTAAGTTTAAAGCATGCCAATTAAGGCTGGAGAGACAATATGAAGCTTTCTTGCAAGATTATGAGCTAAGATGCTAGGCAAATTCTGGCGTCCTAACCGGGAGGTTCGGGCCACCCACCCCTGTTGATCCTAAATCAATAAAAAGATGCTTTCATTGATTGTCATCTTCAATAAGTTTTATTTTTGTCGCGCAAGGTTGAAAACTTAGCTTTAAATTTCATTCGAACAGAAAAATATTATATATTTTATTTCATGGTGCATGATTGAGTTTACCAAAATACGTATGTGCCCAAGTGACCTGCAATATGAAGTAAGCTGTTCGCCGCTTATGCGGTTCCTGGGCTCTAAGAGAGATCAAGGTAGATACCAGCTACGAGCATTGTTCTCACGTCGAGAAAAAGATATGAAACATGGCACCGGCCCATACCTCCCGGGCCATGGCCCGATCAAGATTCCTTTACTACTCGGGTTGGTTCACTAGGGAAATAAAGGCGCCGTGGTGACGTCATCAGAGGAAAGCCTTCACATTCAAATGAAGGGGTGATTTGAATTGCTGATTTTGGCTCGATATAGGCCTACTTTTTTAGTTTCAGTCCCATTTATCGTAATGAGGCCAATTCATTGATACATTGGTACATCTTTTGATGACATATAAGCCTTGATTTTTTCTCCAGCTCGCCCGAAAGATGATGAAATTTGCATGCATGCCTATGGGTGAAGGGAGATTCTGCCGCCGTGGTGACGTCACGGTAAAGGGATTCTGGAGCTCGTGAACGGGGGCTGCCCGATGGTCCATACCTCCCGGTGCATTTTGATGGATCGAAAAAGCGCACGATTTATTAAGTTATCTCGAGACAAAATAGTTGGTCCCAGATGCCTAATATCAGGCACACTTTGCAGGCGAAAGGCAATTTCACGTGCACAGAGTGAAAAACCGGGTGTAGCCACTGCCCACTGGAAGAAAATTGCCTTTTCACAAAACCGGCCCATACCTCCCGGGTCTCCCCTACTAACCATAGTTAAAACATAGTCTAAAGGTAGTTGAAAAGCGTATAGTTGATACTAAGATGGAAGGAATCAATGGAAGGCAGAAATGGCGCAGCTGTTTCTTTGTCAATACCACGCCTCTCTTTTACCTGATTTGATGAGTTCAAGATAGCTCGCTCTAATTGGTTTCTGGCAACCCCACGTTTGGTTGAAGCAGCCCCCTCCAAAGTCATATGGCAGCATGGGCGTGACTTTTCCTACTAGCCCATAGGGTTGCGTGTTAAAATGCGACTTTTCGCACTCGGTTTTCAAGGTCTCGTAGTGTGGGCATCCACACACAAAGTATATTAAAAGATAGCTACAACATTTTTATTTCCATTTTTGGGATGAAAAGTTCAAGCCCATCCAACCGTTTTCGAGATATTCGTCCAAATATGACCCCATGTTTTTGATACATCGGAAGTTCCTGTGTTCGAATCTCGGCCAGACCAAAACTTTTATCGTTCATAATGTGCGGCATACCATGGCTGCAAAGTTAAGTAGGGGTGACCGCGCTGGTGATGGAGAGTTGTAACTTGGCATACCTGACCTTTGATTCAAGCCGGAATTTGTGGCACCAACCTCATTTTCAGGTCAGGTCAGGTCACTGACCTATGACGTCATAAGTGAACCTCTGCACGGTCACGAAGTTTGATAAGTTCTGTAAGTTTCATCCAGGGGGCGTCGAAGTCTAGTATGAAAATCTGGCAATCCCCGGCGTGACGTAACGTCGGGGATGACCGACGGCACCTTGCACTGAAAGATACGGCAGAACGGCTATTTTTGAAAAATGATTAAAAATACTTTTGTGCTGTTAAGACACATAAAACGCTTATCAGCATGTTCCTCATCATGTGATAAAGCCATATCCGTGGTCGAAAATAGCTGAGCCTCTCCCAATTTCCAACCACCGACCTCATAAGCAAAGGATGTAAGCGTAATCCTTAAGGGCGACTTTCCTATACATATTCGTACATATGCGTCCTTATGGAAATCGGTAGTGTGGCGATTGGCGACGCGCGCGACATCTGTGTGGCGACCAAGTGGCGACTGTGGCGACACCTGGTGGCTGCTTTTCTGCTGTATGTAGGCATTGGGGTTTTGCCAGATATGGTTCCTACTGCAACACAACTATGTTGACCCAATACTAGAAAGTTATTTTGCCAGTAAAAGGCAATCAAATTGAAAGTCAATTTACAAAATTGCTTATAAATGATAACGAGAAAATAATAAAGAAGTTTTGATTCGATAGTTATTAAAATATCCAACCGTGAAACTATATTCTGGTAGGTTTAGTAGAAATTAGTCCGTGCAACCTTGTATTTAGCAAGGCTATAGAACTCCAGGTAAGGACACCAGCCGTTTGACCTTGAACGCCGCCGGCCGGCCGATGACGTCATTGGAGGCAAGCCGGCTCGGCGGACACACAAGGCGAATGCATAACGGAGGGGCGTTGGAACGTTGCGGGAGCCGGGGAGATATTTTAATGTGGTTGCATACCACCATTGTTATGTTGATTGATCTACAGACTGCATTCTTTTAAACCTCGATGCATCCTAGGCCTGGATGGTGCGTACATTCGTGGAGTACGATCACCCCGTCCGACGTCCGTGGTCGAAGCTGTCATAGTATTAAAGACACTAAGACGGGTGCAATAACGGCGATCCGATCCCGTCTCTGGCGAATCTAGAGGGGTCGTAAGGACCCAGGCCGAATCTGACCGTCTATTTTTAGGCAAGCCGGCTCGGCAAGCCGGTCTATTTCTCCAGGGAGCTGCAGTACCCGGCGGCCAAAGCGGCCACCTCGTCGACTCGCAGGTCCTGTGGGATTCCGTGATGCTTTAGTGCTTCACCCACAGAAGCACGGGCATAGCAGTAGGATGTGGGGCTAGGTGTCTGTCCACCTCTTCATTGAAAGAACAACGTATACAGCGCCTGGTCCCGCCGAAGCTCGGTATCGACCGTGACTTATTCACAACTGGCGGATCCAGGAAGCGGTCTTGGACACTGCGGGGGCTTACCCCAAAAAGGTTTCTCGGAATTAATTTAAAAAATTCTGATTTCGATTCCTTGCGCACTGCTGTGCGGTGTGATTAACCAACATTTCCTCAGAAAAGTTGTGAAGTTTTCTTTGATTCTCGAAAAGCGATTTCGGGCGCTGCCAATGTGGGGGAAGACATTTGCCCCAAATGCCTTCCCCTGGATCCGCCAGTGGGTTGCCCCACTCCGAGCTTGACTAAAAACGTCTTCAAACCCCACCAGAAACCGATGGTAAGGTGAATTTAAATCCAATAACTCATCTCTGTCTGCCCGCCTAAATATACAACACATGGTAGTTGGTACGGCACCCGGCCCTGAGCTATGAGCCGATCGCGATATTTTTGGCTTTCCCCATCCCAAGCTCGATTAGAAACGTTCTCCTTCCCCACCCGATTGCTGATGTCAATTCAAATTCAATACCTCATCTCTGTCTGCCCGACCATAACCCATTCATTGCACACCGTTCAGCGCCCCGCCCCGCCAGAAGTATCCTAGCGCGCTGAACAGTTGCCTCCAGCCGCGTCATAGCGAGGCCCCGCGCGGCCCATAAATTAATACATTGCGCGAATAGCCGTGTCACCCCCCTGGTATTTAGGGCCTTGGTTTCATCTACCTGTGATAGATCTCCTTCCATTGATGGAGCTGCGATGTTACGACGTCAAATAAACCTTAGTATGAGACGGTTTTTTTGTACGGCTGCCGTTTTTTTTTTCTTTTGTCGAAGTATCATACTCGCTGTGGGTACTCAAATTTTGGCACCTGCACGTGTTTTAGCTAAAGGGCGGCGAAAGGTGGGGGCGTTAACCTCCACTCCCTCCCCTTCTTGCAAGTTGCAGGTTAACAGAATAAAAGAAAACAGACTTATGTCTTATATACTAAGACTTATACGGTGCAAATATAAGTACTAAAAATCATATTTTAGAAAAACGTTCTAATTTCGGTAGGTGTCGAGTTGTTTCACTGGTCATATTTTGTCCACTGAACACAACACAGGATATAACATTGTCCAATTTTATTTAAAAAAAAAACATCGATCATCTTTATCATCACAGACCTTTCACGTTAGTCGGTTCATACTTGGGAGACATGCTGCTGTTCGTAGCGATAGGCGTTATCACAAGTGTATTCGCGGCCATTGGGGCGACGTAAGAAAAGAAGAAAACAACTGGCCCACAAGAACTTTAAATTATCAGTTAGCATGCACCTTTTCCTTGATAAGTAGAGAATTTACCATTAATTGTTAGAGAAAATTGCATTTAAAATCTTCCATTTATGTTTTTTTCATCGTTTGCACAGTATGTTCTTTTACTAAGCCCTACTAATTAGAAATAGTTCCCGCATCATCAAGAACAATAGGGAAGGCTTGAAGTGAATACAATAATCTAAACGGTTTTGTAATCCATGTGAAGACACTTCAAAAATTGCCTGTAGAAATATTAAAGGCAAAAGTTCAACTTTTTCACAAGACGGATGGCTATAAACCTATTCAACGTGTGACAACTCAGCCGGTATTTCATCGCCTACAGCCCAGCTTTCCCTAGTGACCGATAGAGGCGCTGCTATCGATGTCCGCCCGTGCCGCCTAACGGACAAGTAAACTCGACTAATTGACGCAAGTACTAGACGTAACCGTACCCGTGAGCCATTGTTATCAATAAAATGGTGCGATGTCGTAGGGTCATCACAGTGCCGAGTCAATCGCGGCATGGTGCGAAGGGGCGCGGCGTGCTGACAAAGCCCTTTGCTCGGTGACCCGCGGTCGGTGGTAGGCTCAAGGCTGCCATCGCGCCGGGCGACCGCTGCCAGTATCTACCCAAGACCGGTTGACGCGGGCACGGTCGCCGTCATCGTTTCGGCGCTCCGACGAGACTCGCTGGCCAATATGACCCGAGAGGGCAGCGCTGAACCACGCCGGGCCATGCTCCCCGCATCTCCGGCGGCCTCACCCTCGGGACGCTCACACGAGTCTCACACAGCGGCACCGGTCACACCAGCAAACGACATAACACAGCTGCCGCTAGGCTGAGTAGCAGGGACGGCAGCACGTGCTGTCCTGATGAGAAATTCAGGAAGTCCGGGAACTCGAACGAACCGCCCTGGATGTCTGAAACAGATTGAATACAAATTTCGTGATCAGACGAAATGTTGTGTACTTGGAATTATCACGTTTGGCAACCAGTGTTGTGCACAATTCCATCGTTATTCAAATCCCACGAAATTTGTCAGTAGATCAATGAAGATATATTTCTACCGCTGTTAATTTTATTTTAAGATTATTGACTTGACGATCACTTTACGATTGTATACTGGAAACCTATGGATACTACTATGTATACCATAAATAACAATTACACGAAAGTTTTAGAAAAATCAGTGAAGATGACACAAGACGTGAAAATTGAACATTTAAAAACATCGTCTTTCACACTTCAGCAGCTCTGTAACAGACTCAACAGTTTGGATGATGACGTAAATAGTAAACAAATTATTACAAATGCATTCAAATATATTCAAAAAGAGCCACAGAGCTTTCGGTTCATGGAACCTTGATCACTGTGCTGTTCCATGAACCGAAAGCTTTGTGTGTCTTTTTGAATATATTTGAATGCATTTGTAATAATTTGTTTATTATTTACATCATCACCCAACCTGTCATGGATACTCAACAGAGACTCAACAGTCCATTTATACGTGATTACATCCGGCTGCTATCTTACTTTCAATGTATTTATCGGCGTCCTCCGGGTCGAGGGCACCGCACAGCTCGTACGGCACCGAGTTCTTGCGGGCCGAGTTGAAGTAGCCTGGGATGAAAATGGCGGGCCCGTCCACGCTCCCAAACGAGAAGAGCCGGTCAAAGTCGTACTGCAGCTTCTGCGCCTTGGGCCCTGAGGGAGGGCACGTAGTCGGCGGCCCGGTCAGCTAAATCGGCTGTAGTTGGCCCTGACTTGGGGGTAAGGTTTACTGGCCAAGTGCTTCATCATTGACGTTGTATAAAATGAATTATGGAATAGGTCTGTTTGAAGGGTCCGATCTGAATATCGTTAAACATAAACAATTAAACATGCACCTTTGTAAGCTGAACCCAGACAGCTTCCTTCTCCCTCTCAGAGGGTCCTGCAAACTCAATGTTAGACTGTGACTTGGCTGAACTCACCTCTGAAGTGGACTGTGAACTGAACGCATCTACCGAAGTTGATCTCCAGTGTTTCTTGTTCGTCAATAAAGACAAACCACTCGGGCGCCTGCATCACCTTTCGAACTGTGTCAATGAACTGCGACCTGCGGCAAAGGCAGAGCGGCAACATTAAGACTGGTTGCATGCGCTTGTTGGAGTCGTCACTGGCAATTATGATTAAAGTACCTACTTAGTTTGTAGTCGCATCTATCAGAAATAAATTCGCAGTCCAAATTTGACGTACTCCTGGGCCTAATTTTTGGTGAAACCTATGCCAGCAGGCATAGGCGGCGGAACGGGGAGGGCGCCGGGGCGCGTATTCGCCAATTGTATTACACGAATCGGCCCATCAACTAGCGACATCTCTAGTGCGACGTCATAGTCATCCTCCGCGACAATGCATGCATTGAGGCTAGATTTCAGTTGAGACTATTTTTGCATTGTATATGGCTATCAGACATGTACGTGTCGCCGTAGCCGAGTGGTTAGGGTCTCGGTGTGATGGACGATAGGTCGGTGGATCGAATCTTGCTTCAGCGGTTCTTTTCTCTTAAAAAGAAGTCGGTCGTAGACGCGCATATTTGGCCACTACGTTCGCACGCCAATATCGTACGCCCAATAAATCTCTGACAAGTGTTCATCTGATTAAGGAATAAGTTGCAAAAGAACTGCAGTTGCAGTCTATACCTGAACTACCAATTTTGTTACGGCACTGTCGATATTCGTCAAAGTCGGAAGAGCTATTATGAAACACACTCGAATGACAACGGATTCCTGTATTATTTCATCGATCAGATAAGACATGTATAGAGATAAATTGATGACAGCCCGCCGTGAGCATGCAACTTAACAACCAGTCCCAAGTTATCTTCATAAACGTCTAATATAAATCTTCTGACTTTAACTAGATTCCAAGTAAGAGGACTTAGGTATCCCCCTGGCGGCTGAAATGTAAAAGTTATAGTTAGGGCATAGCTCCTATAGATGACGCTCTGACGGCTGGAAACTGATTATCTCGTCCCGTGATTACGCTAACAGCTATGCCGAACTTTTTTTGTGCATGGTGATTCTTACACGAAAAGCTATCTAATAGCCTGCTTACCAGCGTGCGATTTTTACTTTTCATCTTAGGTTTCGCTACTTTTAGGTACTTTACCTTGCCAAGTGCCCACCTACTTTCAAAAGGTCAGCGCCGCCCCTGTCAATGCTGCGTGCTATCACCCATTGGCAGTGACAAATATCAAATATTGATCAATGAATGGCCATCGCCCAGCACCATTTGTCTTTCCATTGGCTACGTTCGCATAGTATGCACTATGCATTAGTGATGTCAATCACAGAAAATCAGAACACCGCTACCAAACCAAATACAAACAAAGACCATTGGAAAATACCGAAACCGAACCAATCGGTTGGACTGCAAATATCTATCTTATGCAACATATTCATTAGAAGAATGCCTACGTCTGATTTCTTAGGTGCACGCCGTTACAAATGTATAAAAAACGCACAATGACAGATGACACGAAAATCGAAGTCGCCGAGTGGATTCGAACCACCTACCTCTGAATCACCAGTCCGATACTCTAACCACTTCGCCACGGCGATAATGTACCCCATGTAGCTTAAATGTCAATAACTTAAAACCTAGCTTCAATAGACGCCACCAGGGCGAGGACCGAAAGTATGACGCCACGCTGACGTCACTCAGGAGGCAAGCTATTGGTTGGCCGATTCGTGTAATACAATTGGCGAATACGCCGCCGGGGCACCGTGCCCCCTTTGATTTTGGCATTTTAACATAAGCCCTATGGGCGTTGCATGGAAAGAATGGGACCAAAAGTCGGCAGTGCCCCCCCCCCCCTTAATTGAAGGTGAAGATGTTAACCCGCGCCCCGTAGGGCTATCGGCGGACCCTACCACCCGTGGGGGGGGGGGCGTTCCGGCCCCCCCCCCCCCCTAAGATCTCGGAAATTTACCGGCCGATTTTCAAAATTTAAACGGCATTCGATACCCCCACCAAGAACTACCTTGTGACCAAATTTCATTGACCTAGGTCAAACCGATGACGTCACAGGTCAGGTCAAAGGTCGGATTTTCACCGTTCACGGGTGCACGTCAGAATAGCTAGTGACATTTGAGCTAGTGACTTTTCAGCTAGTACAAAACAGCTAGTGCTTCAAAACAGCTAGTGACAAAATCGCTAGCGTCGGAATAGCTAGGGAAGTAAAATAGCTAGTGGCAGAATAGCTTGAGTCAAGTCAAGTGAAAAAACATCCCTCTATGAGACGTTAGGGAAGGCATCGCGGCCGTCCTATTGACCGATAATTCAAAGTCAATAACACACGAACGTGGTTGTAAATTACTTCAGAATTTCGAAGATTTTCGGTACGTTGTCATTTTTCGGCCAAAACTATGATTCGGTAGTTAGGTCGTTTGTCATCTGCTTCGTTTTCGGCGTTGCCGTATCACAAAAAGCGTACTTACACCTGCTTAGCTCCATGCCCAACAATTCTTTTTTTCCTGGAATGTGTATTCCTGCCCTAGTAGACGGTTCTGATGCACAGCCTTCGAGCCTTCTTTTCCTTCGGAGCCTTAACCCGCGCCCTGCTGGGGGGGGGGGGGTGTTTGAACACCCCCCCTTGTGGTTTTTCGCGAATATCTCAAAAACCGCGGCGCGGAGCGCCGCCGTTTTTTGTACACCTTATCATACATCAATTCTACACATGTTGTGAAAATTTCAGACCAAGGTCATTCAAGGTCAGGTCACCAGGTCACTTGAAGTGACCTCACCTCATAAAAACTTTCAATGTCTGTCATAGCTACACCGAGTGACCGATCGCTTTGAAACTTTCAGCGATTGCTAAGAGTAATAGCATGTACAAAATGTATATCTCAGAATTTTGATATCGATGACCTAAGGTAAGGTCAATTTTGCGACCTCCCCATTATAAGTCAATGGGAGAAAATTGAAATGCGCCTCTTTTGGATGAAAGACATTATAAACACTCCCAAACACCGAATTACAAGTGGTTTAGACACACTGAACTTAAAAATGGTGTCCGTGACCATTGTTTATGCCCTGAGGTCATCTTAGGTCACGAATGGTATCTAACAGTTTTTCGCAAATAACTTTTGATAGAGGCATGCTAGAGCGATGAAAACGCCTTAGATGTGTTCAGCTCGACGATACGGATCGACTGATATGCAACATGACCCTTTCCGGTCAGGTCATGACCTTGACCTGAGGTCAAATTTTCAAGTTGACCTTTCAAGGTCAAGTTATAGTTCATTCGATGCGTCTTGACGAGAGGAACACGATGCCGGTAAAAGTAAGCTCGTACAAGGCTTGGGTCAAAAGTTATTGCAGAAAAACTGTTTTCAAAAAAATCGGCTATTTTTGCAGTTTTTGCCCCCTGCAGGCAAAACCGTTGACGTTAGGTCAAATCTGAGAGCATTACTCAGAAAGGGCGTTAATAGGGCTATCGAATGCGCTTTTCCGCGGCGCTGTAGCTCTATTGGTTCCCGAGTTATGCGTTGGCTTCTTGGAAATTTTCGACATTCGACCTGGAAATCGGCGAAATTTTGCCTTCAATGACCTCTGGTGACCTGACCTTTGACCTGACCAAAAAATTGACCGAAGTGATTTCGTCATTATTTTTGACGCTCTTTCGAACGCCGCCTTCCGCGTATCGCTACGTGGCCCAGGAGCCGAGTTACAAGGGGGGGTGTTCAAACACCACCCCCCCCCAGCAGGGCGTGGAAATCCAGGACCCCCAGCAGGGCGCGGGTTAATGTAATGTTCTTATGTTTCGGCGTCATGACCGCCTGCACCTCTCAATTGTTCATGTCACAATCTTCAGGACTCGTGGGGAAAGAATTCATACTGGCTGCTCGCACTTCGTAGGCGCTAGCTAGTTACTTTGATCTACTAAATATTTCGCTTCACTAGCCATTTTGACGCTTGCTATTTTGTCACTAGCTGTTTTGAGGCACTAGCTCTTTTGTGCTAGCTCAAAAGTCAGTAGCTCAATTGTCACTAGCTGTTTTGACGTGGACCCCTGTTCACAGACATTTCAAGAAATGTGTTGTAAAATCGAGTAAATTGGTAAGTTACTGTAAAACCATCGATGGTACATTGTTCGTCAAACACATACTTTGCTATCTGATGTCACTGATACCAGGTCAGGTCACAGAGGTCAGGTCACCGGGGGTCACAATATGAAAGTGTCGTGTGATACATGTTTTATGGCCAATTTTACATGGCAAATGCGATTATGTGGGTCAGGCAGCCTTTGGGGCCAGCTTAGGTTACGTTTTGGTGAAGGTCAGGTCAAGGTCAGGTCAAATTAGGTCAAATTTCAAAGTTGATATTTTGCATAAAATGGGTATTGATTCGATGCAACTCGTCACGGGGAGTCTAATGGTGGTCTTTTTTTGCCCTACGTGGTCTAGAATTGCCAAAAATTGAGTTTGAAAATTTGACGTCATCATTTTTGAACGGTTTGTTTCGCTCTAACTTGGCCAAAAAACGAGATATCGATCTGAAATTTGGTATGTAGATAGAAGACGGTAGGTGCTACCTATCACATATATTCCTTTTTTCGAAACTCAAAAAACTTTTTGGATGTTTTGGCTAATATATAAAAAAATACTTTTTTGATTTTTGGGGGTCAAAACTCAAATTTCAAAAATCCGTGATAGCAGTTTTGTAGCCCTGCAATTCTACATCTTTTATGTTTTGATCATTTTTCTGTATCTTCAAAGCTGTAGGCCTGACAGGTCTTCTTGCGAAGGACTTTTTAGGTCAAAAATGGCAGAACATGACGTCATTCTGACGTCATTTGTGGCTAACCTATCATAGCCTCTGGAAAAAATTTTGGTCACAAAGTGTAAAATTGATGCCCGGAGGGGTCCTGAAATTTGGTGGCGATATCTCCAGCCGTTTAGGAGATATCGACGGAAAAGGACAGGGGGGCCGTTTCGGCCCCCCTACGGGGCGCGGGTTAACTGGGGGGGGGGGGACAATTGTCTCCCCAGTCGAGCGGATTGCCCCCCCCCCCCCCCCCGTGGCGAACATTGCCCCCCAGTCAAAACGTGAACTTCCCACAAAATTACCTTCTCTGCAATAGGTATGTTTTTTTTAGGAGTCTTACATGGATTTAACGAGAAACATTACATATTTTGTTCAATTACTGTTCATGGCTACGGGAAAAGCCAGTCCCCCTCTGCCCCTCCCCAGTGAAAATTCCTTAGACGAGGCAGGCCCTGTATGCCAGCTAGCTTACAAATTTATCCAAGTTTCTCACGTTTTGTCTAATTTTCACCCCGCAACACTTACGCGACAAATTTTGGCAGCTTGCGGATGGACACCCTCTTGATTATGTCGTAGTCAGGCTCGATGTTAGCGCAGGCGAACCTATTTGAGCCTCCGTTGGCCTCAAATATGATAACTGACTTTCCGATTGCGCTGTGCCAGAAATCTCCATCTGGGGCATACAGAAAACGTAACAATACACACGAACATAAGAGAGAGAGAGAGAGAGAGAGAGAGAGAGAGAGAGAGAGAGAGAGAGAGAGAGAGAGAGAGAGAGAGAGAGAGAGAGAGAGAGAGAGAGAGACAGAGAGAGAGACAGAGGGATAGAGAGAGAGAGAGAGAGAGAGAGAGAGAAAGAGAGAAAGAGAGAAAGAGAGAAAGAGAGAAAGAGAGAGAGAGAGAGAGAGAGAGAGAGAGAGAGAGGGGGGGGGGGGGCCGACAGGGGCATCCATACATGCATACAGACAGACAGACAGACAGACATCAGGGGCTTGTCACACCAGGGTATGTTGTCAGCGTACAGGGTGCCCCTAAATTGATGCGCGGTTGTTTTATCCTCAATAACTTGTAAGTTGCTTCAATTTATTCACGGTTTATATGTTATCATAGTCCCCATTCAGTCGCATAGGGGAGGATGGGGCAACTTGGGCTTGGCCGCTTTTTCAGAAAGCGTTGTATTTCAAAATTGGAGACATATTTCTGCACTCTCTCAACGCTGGCAGGTGTCACATTCATTTTACTTTGCCGTACAATAAACTGAAAATGATAGATTAACTACTTGTACTTAAATTTTGACGGTTTACAAAGGTCTGCAAAGCGGCCTAATTACCCCGCTAGCAGGGTTATTTGGCCGGTGGGGTGGGGCAATTTGGCCGGTGTTAATTTGACGTCTGGGTTTTATGTAACAGGCGAGTCAGCGTCAGCAATGACGTGTGTCCTATACGCATTTTTGGAGATCTGGAAGCGTCACCCTGCACGTGCGCTCGTGAAAAATGGATCCCAACTGACTTGTGCACGGTACCCTACTAACTGGTCCCTAACCATGTACCAAATTTGAGCGCCATCAGTCCAGCCGTTCTAGAGATCTGAAAATGACCTCTGCACGTGCGCACGTGCAGCAGCACCTGCAACCCTTCATGGACACGTGAATTGAAATACCGTAAAGTGGGGCTATTTGAGACAGTGGGGCTATTTGAGACAGTATTTAAAATCGCTATAAAATGAAGATCGTTTGATTTTTGTGTGATATTTTAGCTCAGGGAGGTGTGGAATCGAGCAGTAAATCGCCTGAGCAAAAAAGTAAGCATAAATTTTAAGTGGTTTTTATTTTATAGCAATTTTAAATACTGTCTCAAATAGCCCCACTGTCTCAAATAGCCCCACCTTACGGTATATACAGATCTTCATTCGCACTGACTATCCACATGTCCAGTAAAATGCATTATAAGGCTGGAGACTTCCACACGCGGGTAAGTCGCGTGTAAGTGGTTTGCGGGTAAGTTGGCGTTTATCTCGCGTTTAAGTCGGCGGGTAACTTTGCCCGGAGACTTCCATCTGCGGGTAAATAGTTTGTTCGCTAAGTTAGCGACCAAACTTACACGCGAGCCACCCCATGTATTAAGTTCGCGGGTATCTTTTCGGTGGTGCTTTTTTTGGTCCTTAGGGGGTTTTAAAAGTTTATTTCTGTGCAAATTTTATGTGCAAGTGATAGACCATAGTGCAATCATCTAGTTCTGGCTTTTTCAGCCAGTTCGGCCTAGCCGTTCGGCTGCTAAGATTAGACGAATTTGAGGTCACCTTTTCATAGTACTGAGGCCAGTTTTACCAACAGAAAAATAGCCGCCTGGCGGAATTTTTCGCCTAAAGGCCGATTCACATACGGATCGAGAGCGGTAAAGCCCTATCCGCTTACGTGCTTATCGCGTTTACACTACGTATGTGAAACGGTCTTTAGGCAAAAAATTATGCCAGGCGGCTATTTTTCTGTTGGTTAAACTGCCCTCTGTGCTTGTTGAGGGGTTACAAATTACGTATTTCATCACTGCAAGTAGGTATCCAGATGTTTTCAACAAGTCATACATGAGTAATCAGAGCAATATTTGAGTTGACAGAATTGAGGATGTAGGACTCAAATTTTCAAATACGGAGGCATTAGTCTATTTCCATCGCACCTATCTCCTTGCCACCAGCTGCTATTTCGTAATCTTCGGGATAGTGAGATGGGATTCGTATCGCATCCGAAATAATGTGATCGTCGAGCCAGCCGGCTAGTGTCGGGCCCCTGTCGTCGCACTTCGCGTTACGTGTCAGTGGGGCGAGGACCAGCTCAGTGGAAGCAATACGAGTGTCCGGTCAACAACCATGGACAGGAAGAAGAGGAGCAGAAATTTCAGTAGTAGAGACATGCATTTGTTAGCCGATGTCATGAAGACTGAAGTAAAAATCATCGAAAATAAGCGACACGATGGAAGGAGTAATGAAGAACGAAAACGGTCTTGGAAGAACATTGTTACAGCCTGTAATGCAAAGTCAGAAGAAAAATGGGACTAGAAACAGCTGACACAGCTCTGGAGAGATATGAAAAGGACGGCCAAAAAGAACCATTAGCGGTTTAAACGGCAGCAAATGGGCATTGGTGGTGGACCGGATCCTGCGCCGTTGGAACGTCAGCCACCCCCGCGACACGCACATATTAAACTGATCACTCATAATCGTCCTTTGTGTGGCATTGAATTGGACACCGACGACGCCTCACCGGTTCCAAAACTCGTGCATGTCATGACTTTATGTAAAAAGAAAAAAAAGAGGCCAAAAAATATTAGAAAAAGAAAGAAAAAAAGAGAAAAGGCCAAAAAAAGGACCTGTTGCTCGTGAGGCTGCCGTCAAAGGGTGCAGTCCGCCACCGACCGGACTCAAGAAGCTCAAGCGGCTCAAGAAGAAAGGAAAGAAAAGAAGAAGAAGAAGAAGAAGAAGAAGAAAAAACGAAATGCTCCAGAAACCCACCAAAAGAACATGCTCCCGACGCCACGTCCGCCAATACACGCCGAGACATCACAAATCGGCCGATATCGCTTCTGGCGGCAGGCCAGCATTATAGCACATGGACATGGACATGGCCTCACCGGTGAAGTGACGGGGCGGGGGTGAGGACGGGGGGTGACGGAGACGAACCGACGAGGGCAGACGAGTAATCTGAGATACGGCTGTTGCAAGATCATGCAGTAGACTGGCGGTCGGCCATACAGAGTGAAATAACACAAGGCGATTAGCATTACTGATGCTGATTGGCACGGCTTCAAACGCTGTTCTGGTTAGGTTAATGCATCACCACATCCCATTGTTACGGCTGTACTCATTGCATGTGTAAAAACGCTGATTGGGGGCCACCGGTCCCATAAATAACGGAATTTCGCACTTGTTCATTGGACCAGCTGATCGCCGCATCCCGATCAGCTGATCGGGAAGCCCTTTAAACTGGCGTGTAAGTCGGCATTTAAATATTTACACGCGTGTAGCTACCCACCAGTTAACCGCGGATGGAAGTCCCCGGGTAAAAGTTGGTGGGCAGCTACACGCGTGTAAGGAAGTTAGCCACCAAAATAAACGCGAGTTAACCGCAAACTGGAAGTCTCCAGCCTAAATTTAACAGCACAAAATAGGCCATAAGGAATCATTAGACATTTCACACATCATATATATCCAAATCTTCATTCACCCGCATTTATTCTACATGATAGGCCATGAGGACACATTTGAGTTTAGCCTTGGGATAAGCGGCCTGATGAGTAGTGATTCCGCTATTTTGAGGTCAGGATGGTCTCTTGCCCGGTATAAAACTTCAACATCTATGTGTGTGAGGTTGCCGGTCGTTTGTGGGTGACGGAAATGGTCTCCTAAGGGTGTGTCCTGTTTTTTGGCTTGGGTTATTAGTTATCTGGTTGTTTCTTCATTAGACAAACACTAATCGTTAGAATTGTGTTTCTCTATTGAAAAACAACCGGAGCAGTCCTTCACAGTTCGTTCACCCGGCTATGTTTTGCATTCTTGGCAGCGAATCGAGACATCTTGTTCGCAGCCTAAACGTGCCATGGGTTAACCGTGCCTAAAGCCTGAGTATGAGCGGCCGGCCGGCCGGCCCTCATACTCAGAAATTTCCGTTAATCTAAGGAAAGACTACGCTCGCTTCGCTCGCTCCGTAATAACTCAACTCAGAAACAAACTCTCACATCTTGTAGCCTTCCCATGTCCGCAAACCCGTGTTCGATACTTTTTGCGAACTGGAGATGCGACTAACAGTTTGGTTTGAGCAAATCCCTGGCTTCTTATTCGTAATGCGTTGTGCAGTGTCTTAACCAGCCCCTAGAAGGCAGACTGTGCCGCAATGCCACCGCCGGCGGCTGTGAACCCAACCAGCTCGGCACCATGCGAGGTTAGAAACTCGGCTGTCCCAGCATAGCGATCCTGAGAGCACCGGAAAAGCTGCTCCACTAGCCCCGGCCAAATAACCCCGCATTGCCATTCTGAAAAAAAATGTCTAAAGTCGTTACGGTTTTACGGAAATAGGTGAAATTGCTCTTGGAAACGCGAAACACCCCCAAGAATAGCGCCACATTGTCGGAATTCGTTTACAGCCTAAATACTACACGCTGTACAATTTTTAACCCGGCAGTTGCTGGGGTATTTCGCCACCCACCGTTTGCTGGGGGGGGGGGGGCGTTAAACGCCCCCAGCCGATAACTCGAGAACCAATAGGCGCAGCGAAACGCACGAGACGGCAAACGAAAGAGCGCGACGAGACGCTTCAGATGAGTACTTTAAAGTTGAATTTTGAGGTCACAGGTCGGGTCAAGATCATGTCAAACACCTGAAATCGGGCTTTCAGTAGCATGGACTTCAGGACTTCGCAATGGGTGCCTCTCGCCATAAACTCTGTCAAAACGGTGCACAATCCATCTTATAAGGCCTATAAGAGTGTCAGCTCCATGTAGGGGTCAGTCAAGCATAGGTCAGGGTCAAGGTCAGGTCAACCGGGTAGGCATATATCCCCGAAAATCAAAACTGATATTCGCAGCCTGTGACACATGTTGAATAGGTAATTTGGGGCGTAGAACACGATGGTGACATTCATTTTATCATATGTGTACGTGTTTGGCTCAAAAAGTTCAATTTAAG